ATGAGAAAACATTAAAATCAACACATACCAAAGTTGTCAACCGTTATACACTAAGAAAAAGCTTGTAAAATTTCAATACGCCTTTATTTTTTTCATTTGGGCAGCAACGGAGTATATTTTTGCTTCGGGAGATGTATCGATGCCAAATTGCGATCCTAGCAAAGATTAGCCATCTCCATTTTCAACTGCACCCGGTATTTTGGCTCAAAGGGACCTTTTTATATTAAGAGCGCCTTTTTTGTTGAATTATTTTGAATTTTTTCCTTGTTTTATTGCATTTTTCCCAATATTTTAGATCAAAATACTGTCAATTTTTGTAAATAACGAGTCCACAGTCTTGTTCAAAGTCAGTAAAAGCGGTCAATAATTTCGAGATACTTCATGCTATTTCTCTGCTTAAAGTGCCTATATCAACCTCAGGGAAATAACCTACTTACATAGATTAGACGATTTTAAGAACATTTGCAATATATTTGATAAGACGAAAATTTGATCTTCCTGTGCTTTTCGGGCCTCAAAGTTGGCTTTTTTCGTGTTTGACCGTGAGGTGCTGTGAGTGGGAACTAGTTGCCCTTTTTCACAGGAAGTGACGTACATGGAGAACACGCTAATTTTGTAAACAAGAAACACGCTTTAAAATATAGAAATATTGCGGCAATACAGTGGGAAATCATGTATTATATAAACCTTTTGGTTCGTTTTTCGCTAAAACGACGTCGTCAAGTATTTCCGACAGCTTAGACAGCCAACTTGATTCGGATATTTAATTTATCCCGGATTATGTATTGCCAATATTGGAAGTTGAAGACGATGCGATACTGTTGCTTCAAGAGACAGTACGCCTACACATGACGATTTATATCAACCTTACCAAGACAAACCGATTGCTGGACATTCGAAGCAGGATTTTACAGATAACTGGCTCTTGATAAACTTTATCGTGGAGCAGCGATTTCATGCGAGCAACTGTGAACTGTGTTGATGTTAGACTTCAATATACGAGGGAATTAATCACGATATCCCAGCTGAACATGGAAACTAAGACTGTGTTGGTAAGAGAAACGTTTAACATGGCAATACGAATATAGCAATATATCTGGTTCGTTCACAGTTATTGATTTCATGCCGCTTTGTTGTGTAACCTGATCAATTATCAATATAGTTTATATATCATAATCTTCCTAGTTCCTCGGCTCATAATATTATGGTTATAAAACTTATCCCGTCGGTAAAATGCCCTAGAATGGATAAGCCTACTTACTCAGCACTCGTTGAAGTGTTTGAAAATTTGCATTATATTGAAGTTTGCGATGCATATTATAATATTCGCGACTATTTATAGCACATTATGTTTGTTATGATTATCATGGTTTTGTAAAGACAGTAAAGTTCTTGTACGCCTAATGCATCTCACGTGAAGCAATGGAAATATTTCTCTTTATTTTATTTGAGGATATTGTTTAATTTGTGTTAAATCAACTATTGCTATCATAAGGGGATAATATATGGGAGTGCGAAGTTGTGTGTTTTGAAATATGACCCTCGCCAGCTCTGCTAATCAGCGGAACGCCGAATCTAGTATGTCTTTCCTGGGCATTGTGATGAACCCTAAAATGAGCTGAAATAATCAAAACTCCGATATGCCGATTTGAAAAATTTTCTTAAAATTTCCCAATTTGGACTTATGTTTGAAAAATCCTAGATCCGCCCCTGCTTCTGAAATGTTCTTGCAGGCAGCATTTTGACATTAATGAAGACAAAATGCATTAGGAAAGATCAGTGAACAAAATTTAACTGAAAAATGAAGAATCAATAGCACATATATAGTAAATGTATTCATACTTGTCTTAATCATAAGTCTTATTTCCTGTGGTACAAATATGAATAATAAATTATTACTAGATTTAAAGTAAATAGCAATCATAAAAACTGATGAGATAAAGCAAATGAGTAAATAAAAATTTGAAGAGGTCATATTATGCATAAGATTGAACTGATTACATTTGGAAAAATTGAATGTCATGGGTAGCCAAAAATCATTGATAATGGGATGTTATGGCATTATTACATTCAATATTTTAAATGTTAAGGATATAGTAACTTTGAATATAAAACTCCATAAAATAAATTTTAAGTATACAATCTTCAATAATTCTGGACAAACACATTGCTTTCATCAGGTATTACTCTCACTTTATCTTATATTCTATGCTCATTAATGTTTTATCCAGACAATGCATGTCTAAAGTACCCCTTTCATAGATACTTGCTGTAATTCGCCATATCAACTTTTGAAATGCAGAACTGGGTAGCATTATGTTATAGCATATAGGATATTAATTTTTATCACCTAGAAACAAACTATATTTAAATTTCATTTCTACCCCCAAAGGCTGTAATGATTATATTTGTTATTAAGTTTCATGTAATGGTAAAATTTGAAAAGGAAAAACCAGGCACGGATCTAGGGGTAGGCAACATAGTCAAGTGACTATGGTAAATTATCCAGATAATAATTACCGAATTCCCAGTTCCCAATTCCCAAAGTATTCATTCATAAGTGGAAACATGACAGTTAATTATTCATATTTTCATATCACAGTCCAGTTATTTATAGATATATAGCTCATTGGTATTTAGGCAAGCCATGAGGCAAGCCAATGAGAGGCAGCTATTTTGCCTATGCCTGGCGGCCGATACAGTCTTGTGATTGGCTAATAGCTTTTTTGCCTAACCAAGACGAATTTGCCTAACTTGACGTAATCTGGAAGCCTTATGATTGGGTAATTTTTTTAAATTCTATTTCATTGGCTTGCATTTTTTGCCTAATCTTTGGCGAGTTGAACCAATCACTGTGCTTCGTAAGCATGCCTGTGTTAGTCATGTTAGGCAAAGATTAGGCAAAGAGTGGAAGCATGCCTTTTCAATCGCTCCGTGAGCATCGAAGGATTAAATTTCGAAGTTATCTTCTGCTTTTTCGCGTTCGCTTTGTTATTGTGTTATTTTACAATGTCTTCATCGTCTTGCAGTGATTTGTACGAGCCATTCGAACGATTTAGAGTGTCTAAATGACGCGATATTTATGCGACGTTCGATCTTTGTATTTATGAAAGCGACACGCTCAAGGCTAAGCTCAAATTTTTGTGTGGAATTATACAGTATGTGCCGAAGCACGCTCGTAATGGCAAGAAAAAGGCTTGTACTGCAATAAGTTACTTCTATATAACTGTGTTTTTAGATCTCAAATCGGCAAAATGATTGTCGAACAACAACAAGCATGGCTAGTTCTTTATGTATTCAAATATAAATTTACATATGTCTGCGCTGGCCGGGTCAAAAGGTTGCTATATATATATATATATATATATATATATATATATATATATATATATATATATATATATATATATATATATATATATATATATATATATATATATATGAATATATAACTTAAATATGATATGAAAGACACAAACTTAGCATGTTCACTTTTAGTCACTTGTTATTATTCCGTATTCCTGATGTATATCACATGTATAAATAGTTAATTAAATACGTTCATATGAAAATTATGAGTGAATACATCATGATGTTGACATTGTAACTCTGCCGTCAGTCCGCAAAATAATTTTCTGATACTTGATCTAGCGTAGTTTTAATTTCCTGTTTTGAATATTTCCTACTTCTCCTAAGTTCTGATGCTTTAGCTTCGGCCCTAGTACTAGTAGGTAACAGTAATACTCAAAGTTGGGACTACTTAAAGTAGGGACTAAGGAATAGTCATCTCAAAAACAATTAGCGTCTATTTTTAATACATCTTTTGTAGTTATAGTAGTTACATTAAAAGTGTATCCTAGGCACGCTGATGAGCCCTAATAGGGGGCGAAGCAGTTCAGTTGGTAGTCTGACGACTATCATTAAAAAATCGAACATCTTAATATGCCAGTAAATGAGTCATGCGTGACGTCATACGTGACGTCATACGTGACGTCATAAATGACGTCATATAAATGACGTCATAAAATTTGACTAAGGTATGAAAAATCCTAGATCCGCACCTGGGAAAAACATACTGAAATTTCCTCAAATGAAGATAAATATGCCATGTGAAGATAAATATGCCTCGTAAGGCAAACTTAAACGGTATAATTATTACAAAGCATGGCACAAATCAGTGAGCATGATTACATGGCATTTAACTGAAACATATGAATTAATTAATTCATTTAAATAAGGATATAACAGTTCAAGAAAATTAAGAGATTGATATGATATATTGTACATATTACCTCGCATATTACTTAAATTTATATTTTATATGGAAGTAGCTGGGACACTTGAAAACGTGTCTTGAATAGACGAAATGCAGATAGATAAAATATTGCCAATTTGCCATTGGATTACCGCATTAAAAACCAAATATTCTTGTTTGTGTAGTACGCGTCTTGGAACTAACCAAATACAAGTATCAATATTACTATTTGCCATTGAATGTCTATCCTTCTCTATTTTTTTACAACCCCTCACTCTAAGAATAATCTGAACCCCGGAAATGCAGTATGCAATATGAGACACCCCCCGTGACCCCCCAGAATGCCGACAGACATACAAAATTTTTACAAGTCGAGATTTCGGTTGACTTTGCACAGTGAGCTGAATTTACATTCGGCCAAAGAACTGCGCACGAGTAAATGTGAAAAACTTCATGTTGCGTCAAGAATAGTGTGCTGCTTGCTTGCAAGTGGATACTGCAAATATAATTTCAATGCCAGTGTAACTAATTATACTTTCGTTTTCCGCTTGAGAAGCCTAAAATATAGGCTATAAAGAGAGCTATAAAACAATGCAAAAGCTATATGCTGTAATGATATTTTGAAAGGAATAAAATATACGGATACGTTCGATGGCAATGATACTGGTATTAGACACTTTTGGTGAAAATACAATTAGTTTTAACAGAATACTGTTAGCCTGTTAGGAATATAAAACAGACTTACATTTAAGCATCATATACAGCAGTAAAACCTGTCTTGCCAGGACCCATCTGTCTACGTCGTTCAACACAAACTTGACCTTGCTTGTAAAGCTCTCGGGTAACGAGGCACAAGTGAGCACAATATTTCGTAAATCACCAACACCAAGGACTAGAACATTCATATCTGAATCGTACTCGACACCCTCGTTCTCCAGTAAGTTAAGATAGTCGTATGCTGGCGCGTTCCCCCAATAGTAATGCGCCGCACAAATCCGTCCATATTTTGGTAGAAACTCAAGGTGGAGTTTTTGAGCTAGGGAATCTATTTTACTAATTATACGCTTACATTCAACTTTGTGTTTTTTTCGATTGTTCTTCTGACATTTTGCATCGCAGTAAAAAGCTCGATAGCAACCAGTACATCTCTGTAAAGATGAACCAATCTTAAAACATGATGAACAGGTTTTCAAAATTGACACTGGACGACATTCAGCGTCGTTGTGCCTCGTGATATCATCATCTTTGCATTTTTTACTGCAGTATTTCGCAACGTTACAAGAAGGACACGCTACTGTGGCGGACGAGTTCCCACAACGCCAACATTCTGTAAACCTTGGCATCTTTCTTACTTTGAAATTAATATCTTGCAAAATTCGTTATAGAACATTTCATCATGCGTATGTAGCCGGAAGTAAAAACAAGGGCTCAATTTACACAATTCCATGTCGGATGTTTTCGCAAAATGAAAACTAGAAAATTAAAATGTACACTCTTGTAAACTAAAGAGTCATTTCCATACTTCGTTGGTTTTTATTTTGACGACAGCGGTATGCATATTATGATATAAAAATGTTTTACAGAGTCTTCTACGCATCGGTTCTGCTCATAACATTAGGGGATTCAATGGTTTAGACATGTTTATTTGAACTTCTTTTTTTGAACTTGAACTCAAAAATTGTAATATAAATACCCCGTATTTATATTTACAACAGTATTTACAACATTAATTACCCAAATATATTTGCAATGTGAATGCCAGTTTACATGAATCTAATTAGTATTTACACTATGGATTCGGGCTGTCGGGAACTGATTGAACAGATAAGCTGTTAAAATATAATATTTGCATTTTGGACAGACGCTTTCAAACGCACAATATCATATAGCGTGTTATTATTTGACGAAAGGGTTTAATTCTAGTTAGTTAAAGTGTCATATGCGCGACGAACGGACGAATGCACGGAGGGATTGCACTCGTAATTTTAATACCTGCAGGAACCTCTGATGGGGTCCATAAAACGCTAGAGATTTATGGGAGACTCTGAAAAACAGAAGCTGAAAACCAAGTTTATCTTAAAGCAGTTGGAGATAGCTGTTCGCCGCACAAAGCAAGCAATAGCGTGGCTGAAAGAATATATTATTAGGGGGGAGGGGTTATAATTTATTCACGATATGCTCAGTTTTGCCCGACGTACGGATTTATTTGTGTGCAATAGCTTATATGAATAAGCCCCCCCCCCCAATTATGTTCTAGCCATGCCACTAAATACAAGTGCTATATTAAAGTAAGGAAGAATCTGTTAAGCCGCACCTCGAGGCCAAGCGCTAAGAAACCGTGCGTGAAACTATACAGTTAATAGAATATACATGGTTTGGAGACCACATAAAACTACAATACAACTCACTACCTATGTTGAGTTGGATTTATTCAAAAAAATGTTCCTTTCTCATCACATATTATATTTTACACAAACTAATGGCAATCTTATAATTAACATATTTTTAAGTCAAGGTTGTTGAGCTTATAAGTGGGGAGGACACCTCAGTTTGCATAGATTAGTTAATGCATATGATTAACTGCCACGTAAAACATTTAGGTTGTATTACTTGTTCATACTTGTATTGTATAATTATGACATAAGGTGCCGGGTACAAGGGTACACCGTTAACAAAACAGGAAAAGGAATGTAATTCTAAATATATACACGGTCAACGGTCGATAAAACAGTAGGCAATTACTTCATTTATCAATTGTTTTATATGGAATCGTCGAATGTTAATAGTTTGGACTTTCGAGTTCACATTTGTGAAGAACATTTCTTGATTTTTTAATCTAATATACCTTAAAATTAGTAAGACACTATGGTATAAAAATTGGGGGGACATATACATATTCGTCCCCTCCAACTCTAAAGGTGGGGGGGAGACCTGTCCCCCCCCCCAGGATTTACGCCTTTGTGAGCTTAGCAAGACGAGGCCCATCAGTAAATTTGGCTAAAACGGGGATAACTCTGGTGTTTTATTCTAATTAATAATCTCAATGATACTAATGCATGAAAGCGTAAGTTCAATTTATCTTCCTTTATATGAATTAGCTATTAAGTTCAGTTAGATCAGTGGCGGATCAAGGGTTAGGCAGAATAAATTACACGGATTAATTAAGTTCGTTCTGCGCATCGGTTCTGCTCATATTAATGGAGGACCCTATCTATAAAAATTGGCGCAAATTCCAAAGCTTTAATAAACGTTGATTTAGAAGCGTAGCCATACTACATTAGATACGGAGTATTAGATATTAACATATCCATTGCATTGCAAAAAGTATAGAAGTTCAAAATGAAAACAAACCGTTAGTTTATACGGACTTCACTTCCACTTTAAAAACGATGCTGTTGATTAGGGATTTCCAGAGAAGATTATGAAATGAAAATCCGCCAATTAATCAATGCAATTGCGATTATAAGCTGTGGTAATTTATTCCTCCTTACCCTGGATCCCTTTTTACAATATAATTTTATGTAATCGGCCCCATAAAGTTTTTTACATTGCCTTTTTGCATATGAATTAAATTGACAATGATTTCATCTAATACTTATACTTATATGCACACCCACTCCATGTATCGTTCAAGACCTGTAATCATTGTGACTCTTCGTCGATTGACCGCCGGTTTAAAGAAAACAATCCTATTTTCATTACGGAAGCCATCGCGCAAACGCAATTGGAACTCATTTCCAAGTTCTTTAAATTTTGGCAATTTTGGCTTGCTTTTTTCTATTCGGCGTTTGCGATACGCATAAAATAAGGCACGGAGGAAATCTTGCATTTCCTGAGAGTTATCCAAGTATTCCCTGAAATTTGTTTGAACATCTTCAGCAAACTTTGGATCTTTAGTATCCTGCAAAGCTATTCTGCTGAGAGCTGCCCTTTGCTGAGATATTAGCGCGCTGTCAACATCAGCCGCTGGACAGAAAATCTGCCAGTTTTGCGACTCTGTTATCAAAGTTGCGTAGGGATTCTTTCGATTAAGCCAGCCAGAGAAAACTCTGAAATGAACAATATGTCATCGATCAAAAAGTCTTTTCAGAAATAACGGTCACACAGAAATTATCAAGCTTACGAAGCTCAGCCTCGTACCCAGGCGCTTTAATAGTAAAATATATAACGTTATATTCTGTTATTTTATAGAGATCAGCTGAACAAAAGGCGAGCGTGCGGGAGTGCTTGGGGTGGTTTTGACAAAGTTAGCGCCTGCCAGCAAATTATTTCAAAATGAAAACATCCAATGAATTATACAATACATTGAGTATAATACAACACAATATAATTGTGTAATATAATTACATGAGTTAGATTTAGGGTTTTACAGATGCGCCGGTTTTTAAAATTTTATAGGTTGATTAATGTTGAATATTTCATGTTACAAATTATATCCGATAAGTATCAGCTTTTTTTTGAATTCGAGTTGTTGCCATTTCGCATCGAATTTATCGTCAGATTATTAAACTTGTAAACAAGGGAATATGAGTTTATCTTTTATCTCATGAATAGAAACCTCTTAAGTCTTAATATGTTGTAAATGTGTTCCCTTTTCCAAATAGTAGATATGTAAATACGGCAGTCAATTATTTGAGTATTTTATGATATAGTCACTCCGAAAGAAAATATTTATATAAAGATACCTTCTGTTGATTCTTCGCCAAAGGAAACGTTCACAATACATGGCTATAGCCCGTCGACTGTCGATTTCAGGAAAAATTTATAAATAATGAAAAATACTGCAACAATACAAACGTTTTTCAGAAACGATTTTCTGCCTCACTAAACAAAACCACCCGAAGCACCCCGCGCGCTCGCCTTTTTTCAGCTGACCTCTTTACAATAACTGGATGCAACGTTATATATTTTACAATTAAAAAGTCTGGGTACGAGGCTGTACAAAATTGAAATTACACCAAAATACTAAGACCATGCACGTCCTGAACCAAAACGCTTTGAATTATGGCTACTTAGCTTGTAAAATTTACCTTAACAATTCCGGAAGAAAAATGTAATCCATGAGGTTAGATGTTAAAATTCGATCATACTTTCGTTCTTTGTCGAGGACTTCCTCTATATCCATACAATTGCAACAAATAATTTCAAAATTCACTTGTTTCGATGCAAGTTTCTCCATAAAACTTTTTAACTTGCTCTCGATGTAGTTTCCAAACATAGTGACCAGTGAATTCGTGTGAATTAATTTCTTCACGTCAAGATAATCCCAACCAACAAATGGAATCACACTTGTTGGACAGCAATACACATACGGGGAGTCTTTGAAATATACAGGAGGGCCAGTGAGTGTTGGGTTTTCTGCGTAATAACAATCATTTGATGTGCCTTGAAAGACACCATCTTCCATATATTTCATAGCGGAAGGGACGTGCTCTTTAGGAATACTTTCATAATAGTTACGTTTGCCTTCGTTACTACTAAAATCAGCATTCATTGTTGCCTCTCGTTGCTTTCGGATGGTTGAAGCACCTTCCACTCTTAAGTCAAGCCATCGTCTCCAAACTTCTTGAAATTCTTTGAAACAGCTTTCATTCAAATTTACTATTCCGTCTGTTGAATTCATAAAATATTTTGCGCTTTTGAAATCCAGAAGTCCCTTGAGTGATGTACTGAGGTAGTTGTACGATTTTTCGCTTAGTGACAACGAATACCAAATTTCTGTCACAATCTTACTAACGCTTTTATCACCTGAAATTAAGATATGTAAGAGATTTATTTATTTTTAATTGTGTAAATGAAGCAATCTAACTGGTCGAGGAGCATTTGTGAAAAGTGCGAACTAAACGACAAAAAAACACGTACTTTTTGTCGTTTAGTTAACACTTTTTACGTTGCTAAACTAAAGCAACAGAATGATGTATATTAATTTTAGACTATATAAATGAAAGAGTCACTATATATTACAATATACAGTGACTCCTTCATTTATATTGACTCTAAGTCTAAAAACAATAGTCTAAAATCAATATATGTCATTCTGTTGCTTTAGTAATCGAACAAATCAACACCATACAAGTTCGGGCTTGGGAGGAAGCGCTCCTGATTGTCACGTTCAAGATCACTCGAATCGTATACTGTCCAACTAGCGCGTGCGGTCAGGTTGATAGCGAGTTTAAGGGCCTCCACAGACTAGGAATTTAGTTGTCGCCAACTATTTGTGATCGAAAACCAAAAGTTATCGACAACTAAATAAGTCCGATAAACGATTCCACACACTGGCGCTCAAATACTGATTTAGCAACCGAAATAGCGCGGAGATTGAAAGTAGTCGAAAACTGAGCTAAAACAAAAGTTTTCACACACTAGAAAAACACCAAAAAATGAGGTCGTTGATAAGTGTTATGTAGTTGTCAACAACTGATAATTAAGAGTTTAATTGCCTACAACTTGCGTGAGAGACTACTTTTTTTAGTTGTCGATAACTTTTAGTTGTCAATCATAAATAGTTGTCGAAGACTAAATCCCTAGTCTGTGGAGGCCCTAAGATGCACCAAATTTACGACGTGTGAGGAAACCAGTAAAGGCCGGCGCACACTAGAGCTATGTGCTTAGCAAAAAGTCATTTGTGGCCATTAGCGTAAGCCAGTTGCTCTCGTGTGCGGGCGACGTTTCAGGTGACTTTGTTCATTCGTGCCACCTACGGCAAATATCTAGCATGTTTGATAATTTCTGCCTCGCGTGCCGAAATCTTTCCGTGTGCGGCAAACTGAAAGCTATCTGCTTATGGATTGTCTTAACAGCGCATGCGTAATATAAGAAAGTAAACATCCAAGATAGCGGTGCAAACAAAGCAAAACGAATTTGTGGCTGAGGCCATATTGGAAGACAAAATGGTTAATCTTTGGCCAGAATACAGGTGTTTATACGCTGTGAATTCAACAGATTTTAGAAACAGAGAGAAACGGGAATGCGCTATTGCAGAAATAGATAGTGAGCTTTCTCAAACAGGTAATATAATTAATAGCACTTGGATAACGGTGTTTAGTCTAGTCGGACGCAACAGCAACCAAAATAACACCTCTTCGTCTCCACTTTCATCCATAATTTTGTTTTTGCAATCTGTTCGCCATCTTGGATGTTTACTTTCTTATATTACGCATGCGCTGTTAAGACAATCCATAAGCAGATAGCTTTCAGATTGCCGCACACGGAAAGATTTCGGCACGCGAGGCAGAAATTATCAAACATGCTAGATATTTGCCGCAAGTGGAACGAATGACCAAAGTCGCCGGAAAAGTCGCCCGCACACGAGAGCAACTGGCTTACGCCAATGGCCACGAATGACTTTTTGCTAAGCACATAACTCTAGTGTGCGCTGGCCTTAATAATTTGCATTACATACGGCTCTAACTTTGTTTGTCAAAAAGAGTCTATAATTTCCATCGCTTTTGGGAAACAGTGGATATTTGAGCAGTATTACTTCACGTCCGCGTCGTAGATTTGGTGTATCTTATAAACTCACTGATGTTTTTCATGCATGGTGGGTGTAGCGTGTGCGCATACTTGACTGGGCAACTTGGAGATTTTGAGTACGAACTTTATCGACAAACTCGTGCTCAGAAGCTTTCTGACTACGATTTTTTGGCTGATGGCGTAAGCAAACAATGCGCGAGAATGGCGAATCTCAATAATTATCTCATACTCGTACTCGTACTCGTAGTCATTGCTAAAGCTCCTTAATATAAACCCAAGGACAACGATTTAAAGCCATTTAAAGAACTAGTCTTTCGGATGAAAGATTTACCATATAGAATTACATCATATAGGAATGCTTCCCCCAAACCCCTTCTCCCACAAAAAAAGCTTACAAGTGTGTTTTGTTTGGCGTAGAAAACCCGCTTACCTAGTAGAACGGCTTTGATCATTAATGCATTCTTAAAGCAAATCCGAAGTAAACAAAGACACTTAGCTACCACTTCAAAGATTATAAACTATGTATATTATATTATATTATATTATAATTTCTGTAAACTCCAAGCGGAATTAGTGCTGCTTGGGGAATATAATTGGCCGTTTTCACACTAGAGACGCATAATGCGTCTTCTCTGGTTATTCGTCTGCTGTATAAAGACGGATAACAGACGCATAATACGTCCAGACGATTAATGCTCAGTTTTTCGTCTTAGAGACACACAACCAACGATAGTTCGTCTAGATGGATAACGCGTCTGCCCGCGTGAAGACGGCACACAGACGAATAATTCTGGAAAATGAGACAGTGATGAAATAAACCAAAAATGCTAATGTAATCTATTCGCGCATGTTTTCATCGACTTATTCGTCTGATTAGGTGTCCCGCCTTTATACTAGACAAAAAATGACGAAGACGCAAAATGCGTCCAGACGCATTATGCGTCTCTAGTGTGAAAACGGCCATTATTACAAATTGAACTAATTTCAACGCAGATGATTTCGAGGCTCGATACATGCAGCGGCGTAGTCAGCACGATAATCGTGTGTGTGTGTGTGTGTGTGGGGGGGGGGAGGGGTGCATACTAATGTATTCATGCTACGCAGGATTAATTTCCTTTCAAATCGATCGTCTTTACGGTCTCTTAACATGAGTATATGAATATGGCCCTCAATTAACGATACTGGCAACGTGGTTGTTTCGACGGTCAATCGGACAGTAAGCTGACTGTCCCAGTCGCGCAGCAATTTCCTTGATGAACATATATTTTAAATATACAATAAATAAATCCACTTACATTTGATCATCATATAGAGCAGTAAAACTAGTCTTGCCAACACATATCTGTCTACATCGTTTAATACAAACATGACTTTGTTTGTAAAGCTCTTGGGTAGAGAGGCACAAGTGAGCACAATATTTCGTAAATCACCAACACCAAGGACTAGAACATTCATATCTGAATCATACTCGACACCCTCGTTCTCCAGTAAGTTAAGATAATCGTATGCTGGCGCGTTCCCCCAGTAGTAATGAATGCAAGTCCGTCCCAAACGTGAACGAACTTGAAGCATACCAGCCAGTAGTTCTATTTTATTGATGATACGTTCACATTCGATTTTGTGTTTTTTCCGATGATTTCTTTGGCATTTCACGTCGCAGTAAAAAGCTCGATAACAACCAGTGCAAGTTTGTAGGGACGAACCAGATTTACCACATGATGAACAAGTTTTCAATATTGACACTGGACGACATTCGGCGTCATTGTGCCTCGCAATATCATCCTCTTTGCATTTTTTACTGCAGTATTTTGCAACGTTACAAGAACGACAATCTATTATAGCAGGTGTTTTTCCACAACGCCAGCATTCGGTGAATCTTGGCATCTCTAGGCCTAAGCCTTTGAATGACTTTCTTTCGAAATAACCATAATAGAATAAAATATGGCACCACGAATATTTTTGGCCGGAAATGTCAACAAATTGACCCGGTTTCCAGGAAGTCATCATAAAGATAAAAATAGCACATATTCCAGCAATCTTAGCAAGATTCGCTCTGTTTTGACGTGTGCTTACTTCTGCCATTAATTCTATATTCAATGAAATCAAACCGTGTCCTGTTTTATAAACAATTAAAGTGTTGAGTAGTTATTACATTCAACACCGATGAATTTAATATTATGTTGATAATATAATTTAATTAACCTACACTTTTTTCTCTTTTTTTGCGATCTACATCATTATCCATGTTAAGCCCTGTACAGGCGGGCAAGTTTTCCTTGACAAGTTTTCTTGACCAGTTCACTTGCTCGTGTGTATGGGGAACAAATTTTTCTTTACAAGTTTTTTTTGCTCGTGTGTACCTAGCCTGAACACACCTTTTTTTCTCCTGCCTTAAAATTCGCGGGGAGATTCGAAGGCGAAACAAAGGAAACAAAGCGTATGCAAGTCGACCTCTTGGCAAGTCGACCGCCAACAGTAGACAAAGCTGATTGGCTAATTCACAGAAATATTTATTTTTTCCCACAAATTCATTTTGACTATGGAAGTCAAATCCTTATACACTGTCACCCCCCCCCCCCCCCATGATGCTTTGAAGGCCCTCAAATTCTTTTTAGACAAACACACCACTCAGGAACCATCGACAACTGTTTCGGTGAGATTAGCAGAACTAATGCTCACTCTCAACAATTTTTCCTATGATGGTGAGCAATACAAACCGTTTAGTGGTGTAGCAATGGGAACTAAAATGGGTCCCAAACATTGCCAACTTATTTGTTGGTTTTGTGGAAAAACAAATATTTGAACAGTACACTGGCCCTCTACATTAATTACCTGGGAAGGTACAGTGATGACTGTCTTGGTACAGCATCATGTTCTCGTGCTGCGTTGGCGAGATTCATAAAATGTGTTGATAAATTTCATCCAGCACTCCAATTCAAATGAGAGATCAGTAAGACCAGTATAACATTCTTAGATATCCTGGTTTTCATCAATTGCAATAGGCTCACTACTTCAGTGTTCTATAAGCCCAACGACTTCCATAGCTACCCCGCTTAGACACCCTTAGAGACCCTGTCTATACCACCCTCAAGCATTAATTATACAAGAAATATGCGACTCATCAACAGTCTTGGCACTCTTCCTCCCTGCGGAATAAATGAAAGACCCTCTTTCATTTGAGCCAACTCGCCCAGAGTAATAGGACTCCAATTTCTTTTTTTACATCAATACTGCTTGTAATATACATATTTTCGTTGCTGATCAGGCTACTCTCATTGCAGGCTATTCTTAGCCCACAATCATGCATCTCTTTGGCAACGCAATATATTCCAATATGTTTTGATTTTTTGTTTTCTATTAGCCCATTTTTATCAAGTGTTTTGCCCCCATACAAAACATGTATTCGCCCCTATTTATTTTCATAATAACTCAGGGCGAAACGTCGAGAAGTGTTTTGTCTAATTTAAGGAAGTTTTTATACCGCATTTGATGCTAAATTATTTGAATACGCTGCCACGCTGCTCCCTGGTTATATTGGAAAGTATATACCTATCTACAATTCAATCAATATATATTAATAATGAAACATGCCCTCCCCGTGTGGCAATCTATTTCGAAAGACTCGTCTTCCATGCTAGAATCCATCCAGCAAAGAGGCCTGAAGACCATCATCCCATACTCCGTATTCAGCAGAGCTACAACTAGTTGGAATAGAAAAACTATCTGTCAGAAGAGCTACAATTTGCGAAAAATACACGAATGGAATGAAACTAGCAAATCACCCTTTTCACCAACTATTGCCGAACGTAAAAGAAAAAGGACTGCACCTATGTGCTACGTAATAGAACAGAAAAGGTGCGAATGTATCAAAATGTTAATTTTTGTAGAACAAAAAAGGCGGAGGACTTTTTTACTTTTTTGTACTACTGATTATTAAACATTATGATTAATAACCTATATTCTTTCAAGATATCATTGTAATTAAGGGTAGGTTAATTGTTAATTTAAATTTCTATTCTAAATATTTAAGGCTATATAAATTATTGCAATTTTAGACATATCAGGACTTCTTTTAACCTTGTAAATAACTTGAAAATTTAGTGCTTACACTACGAAATTAGAGTTCCATTAAATATCAAATCAATCAGCCCTCATAGACAATTCTCTAAAAACCCTTTGTAGAGACCTCCCGAGTGAAACAAGATTAGCAACCCGAAGATTCATGTAATTATTGCTTTCAGGCAGCATTTCTACTCATAGGTAACCTAGTAAGTATTGTACTAGATAAGTTTAACTAGTAGTGCGAGGTATAATAGTATTACAAAAAAAATTATATAAATGAAAGGAAAAACGTGCAAGAAATTTGGCATAGATATATTATAAACGAAGTTTTCCACTAGAAATTTGAATTACTCCTGGACTTCGTTGCAATGTCCACCGAATGATTAAACGATGACGAATGACGAAAATTTAGTTCAAATTTCACGAGAAGAAAAGTAGCAAAATTTAATTTGGCACCCACTCCATGTTTCGTTCCAGACCAGTAATCATTGTCACTCTTCGTCGATTGACTGCAGGTTTCAAGAAGACAATTCGATTTTCATTGCGGAAGCCATCCCGCAATCGCAACTGGAACTCGTTTCCTAGTTCTCTGAAATTTGGGACTTTTGACGGCGTGGATGTTCCGCATTTTTGTCGTTTGCGATCCGCATAAAACAATGCACGAAGGTAGTCCTGCAGTTCACGAGAGTTATCAAGATATTCCCGGAAGGTTGTCCCAACATCATTAGCAAACTTTGGATCGTTTGTATCTCGCAAGGCAGTTTCACCGAAAGACGCTCTTTGTTCAAATATTGACATCGAGTCCACGTCTGCGGCAGGACAGAAGTTGACCCAGTTTTGTGTTTCAGTGATCAACGTTGTGTGAGGATTATTTCTATTTAGCCTGCCAGAGTAAAGCCTAAAATTTGAACAATATGAATTATGCTTCAGAAATATATAAACTTTTAAAAATTAACGTTTAAGCTTAAGTAGTGTATTAACTACTCCATATCTTTCTTTCCTTTTAGAAACATAGGACGCCAAAATGCAATTTTTCAGCATAAAAGACTAACGTTTATTTGTAAACACTAAATTTCAGGGCGAGATAGGCATTCATCACTTTTATGTATGTTACGGGTTCTGAAACCTAGCAAAATGATGCTCTACTAGTTGCTATTTCAAAACTTGGTCATGCTTTTTACCTTAACAATTCCGGAAGAAGAATGTAATCCATAAGATTAGATGTGAAAATTCGATCATATTTTTCTTCTTCTGTCAGAAATTCTTCGATGTTCATGCAATTGCCTAAAATAATGTCAAATCTCACTTGTCTCGCAGCAAGTTTTTCCATGAAACGTTCTAACTTCTCTTCGATGTAGTTTCCGAACATGGTAACTAGAGATTTTGAATACGTCGATTTTTCGACCTCAACATAATCCCAACCAACAAATGGAAGGACACTCGTGGGACAACAATAGGTTAAATCGTTGCCAAACATTGGAGGACCTGTAAGTGTGGGGTTTTCGGCAAATGAGCAATTCTGCGTGCGATTGAAAACACCTTTCTCCATGTACTCCATGGCTGAGGGAACGTGTTCCTTCGGAATACAATTGTAATAGTTGATTCTGCCTCCAAAACTCCCAAGGTCTGCGTTCATTGCCTTCTCGCGTTGTTTTCGAATGTGTGATGTACCTTCTACTCTCATTTCAAGCCATCGTGCCCAAACGTCTCGAAACTTCCTAAAATGCTCTTCGTTTAGATGTATTATTCCGTCTGTGGCCGTTTTCATATCCTCAGCGCTCTGTAATCGAAGCAATCCCTGAAGCGTTTGATGGAGGTAATTGTACGTTTTTTCGCTCAAGGACAGCGAGTACCAAATTTCTGTAACAACTTTACTCACGCTTCGATCACCTAAAAAAGTTAAAATGTAAACAGGATTAAATAGCTAATAATTTTGCTATATTCCTATTATTTCTGAATTAACCCATTCCAATGTTAACAAAGTATATCGGGACCTGTTTAGGGGACGAGCTTCTTGTTTATGTCTAAAACCAGTCATTTCACGCAGTATCAACTCTAATGTTGCAAGTCCGAAATTCATTATCCCATTTTGCTTTGACAGTTACAGTAGATGAAATTAAGAAGTAAGAACATGCACGGTTTTCAGGACTGAACTTCCCGAAATATTTTCGTCTCGTGTTTTAGAAAAAGGCACATTCATTTTACCTTAGCAACCAACTAGCACAGACAGGGGGTATATAGTCTAAAACGCGAAATGGAACAACTGGAACATCTGGAATGTCTAGAATATCTGGATCATCTACAATATACTGAATTTTATTGCAAATTTATTGCCCCAGGCATCAATGCAATAATACATGATTGTCGTGAAAGAAATGCTTCAATTTCATTGGATGCAACTTCAATTTAATATTCACTTTCAAATTCGTCTGCCATGGTCAAAAACAGTGTTTCCATAATGATAAAAGTTTCTTCCTGAGGCTTGCTCATTATCGCCATGCACATTAAAAAACACTCAAGCCATTACGTCACTACATTATACATATACGTACATATTAATACGGATAGTACGACCTAATGAGGCTTTATTTACCGATTTATAAAAGAAGTATTGCAATAATTTGCAAATAAGGTAGTATTCAATAATCAGTATTTCAGATGTTCCAGATATTTCAGGTATTCCGTTTGTTCCATTGCGTGTTTTAGACTCCACCCAGACAGGAAGTTTTTTTTTTTAATTCGGGCTATGGAAATTCACTTATATTTGTTTTGTTTTCGGTAGGTAAGTATCTGATTTGACAAGGCTTGATTTTATAATCCGGCCTCTTCGCACCGGGCGAGGGTACTAATTCTGCTCGGAGATTTTAATTACGCCCGGAATTGCAAGTGCGAAACGAAAGTTGTCCGCAATTATATGTCATGGACGTTGGGCGTTTTTGTAAGTTAGGCGCATGGGTGAGTTTAAGACGGGGTAAAACTGGTAACTAGCAAACGTTTACAAAGGTGCTATGGGTAAATTAAAGTTTGGATTCACCATCACATCAGCATAACTGATATTTTGAATTTTTTCAAATAATATTTTTCATTTGAATGGTCTTTAAGATGTACGAAAAATTGACTCAATGTAAAAGATGCCTTCTAATTGAAAAACTTTCATTCAAATGGATGGTAAAAAATCTACGAATTTGAAGCATATATGGAGTGTTTTTGAACAGGTAAATGGGTAGATTTTGTATTCTAGAGCAGGTCTTCATTGAATATTCAATGTCCGGTATTAATTTATTGCAGGTTGGCGTCCTTGTGCATTGAATTATCAAACAACTTCTATTTATAGTCAGGGAAAATCCCATGTATATAAGAGCCATATACAAACAAAATAGCTTATACTATATAAGGACAAATGACGGGCTATTCGAAAGTATTGCCTACTTTTGACTGATACATCAAAATAATTATGTGTTAGCGATATATATTATGTATTTGAAACTTTAATCCTGTTTAATAAATAATTTTTAAATTCTTTAACATTGATTCCCTAAGATGTATTGTTACTATATTCTTGTCGCAAATGCATGTAAATGATAATATATGCAGGCATTTTTTCAGGCTACAGAAAGCGAGTATATTTAGTACGTATACCTACATTTAATCATCATATAGAGTAGTAGAACCAATCTTGCCAAGACCCATTCGTCTATGTCGTTTAATACGAACTTGACTTTGTTTGCGAAGCTCTCGGGTAACGAAGCACAAGTGAGCACAATATTTCGTAAATCACCAACGCCAAGGACTAGAACATTCATATCTGAATCGTAGTTGACACCTTCATTCTCCAGTAAGTTAAGATAGTCATATGCAGGCATATTGCCCCAGTAATAATGCGCCATACAAATCCGTCCAGAATTAGGGAAAAAAGCCAGGAGTGAACCAGCCAGAGATTTAATTTTATCCACAATACGCTTACATTCGAATTTGTGTTCACTTCGGTGATTCATTTGGCATTTCGCGTCGCAATAAAAAGCTCGATAACAGCCACTACATGTTTGTAGAGATGAACCAGTCTTACGACATGATGAACAAGTTTTTATGATTGCAACTGGACGACATTCGGCGTCTTTGTGTCTCGCGATATCATTTGCTTTGCATTTTTTACTGCAGTATTTTGCAACGTCACAAGAAGGACAAGCTACTGTGGCAGACGAGTTCCCACAACGCCAACATTCCGTAAACCTTGGCATCTTGAAAGTTTTGAGCCAATACACTAATTTGCGTATCCTGAGATGTTTGCAATGCCCGCGAAGTCGCCGAAATAACAACAAACAGGTCGCGATGAAACAAACGACTTGCTCGGACTTGTAGCTGATTCTCAGACGACGTAGATATTATTTGGTTACTACAGGGGGTCTAAAAAAACACAATATGTAAACTAAGAGACCTCTACGAAATATAATATTCAATTTGATGGCGGGAATCAAATATTTTCAAAATCAAAATTAGCAATTAGAAATTAAACTTGCATGATTCAAGGCAAAACAAAGAAAACCTGAAATTTATTATGACCTTCAATGTTGTCTATTGAGTTCCCAGCGGTAATAGAATGCGGTTTTGGACCTGCACGATTTTGTAGTCGCGATAATTTGGGTATAATTCTAGCCGTGGTATGACATAAAAATATCGTTAGAATGCTAAACAATTCTTGCGTTTCGCAATGTAGAAGCTTAAATTTGGACTTAGGTGGGTGTGGGAAATTAAACCAATTTATTTTTTAATTGTGTAAATGATTAACTGAGAAGCGTTTCACAGCAGGCAGGAATTTTGCATTCGGCCCGCTGTGAAAATGCAAACAAAACGACAAAACCAAAGCAACGTACGGCTAAAATGTGTAAGAACCTTTCTGGGGAAGGCTAAAAGAATGTTAAAAATAAAAATATATCCGAAAAACTTCTTAGTTTGGATTTTTTACGCCTTATTTCGTCTTACAATACGTGGTTTTTTTTAATCGATTTGCCATGATTTAGTTGCTATGGTAACAATATTTGCCATTTCATTCGATGTTTCCCGACTAGGATATACTATTGAACTATCCAGTCTATGTGTTTGGTGGTATAATGCTGGTTCCCTTACAAGTGTTTGTGTTAGAAATGAACCCGCTGTTGTATATTTAGGTGATGGCAGTTTAGCTTGCATGAGACTGGAATGAGCACCAGCTTCTAGAATTCTTATTTCCGTTTACGAATGGATTCTCTTAGTTTTGTAAATTTCCATTCGTGACTGTCATGGTCGCGGACCAAGTTTGTTCGGACGATTTCCCAAGAACGATTGGGACTAGGAGGTCTCCATAATTACTGTGGGATTTTCCAAGAGATTCCAAACCTCTCACGTGGTTCTCCATTGTGTCATAGAATAGTTGTAAATTTGCTAGTTCATAGTTGGTGTTTGGCAATTCAAGTAAATAGTGCATGTGTGCATTAATCACCTTGGTTGGGTCACTGAATCGTTCCTTTAGGAGTTGGACAGCTTTGGTATAATTGTGATTTTTAAGGGGAAACCATGTAATAGCTCTTGGTGCATCCCCCACCAGTTGGGTCTTAAGATAACTAAACTTTTGTACAGCCCCATGGGTTGGATTGGTGCGTACTGTGGCTTTAAACGAGACCCAGAATGTACGTAAACCATTGTAGTGGGTTCCCAGAAAATGTTGGAAGGTTTAATTTTGGTAAACGACTATTTTGATTGAGAGGGCTAGGGTGATGGGGGGTAGTTGATGGTGGGGTTGTTGGAAGTACTGGTGTAACAACTGGGGTTTCTATTTGTAATTGAGTCTCAGTAGGAGGGGGGGGACAGTCTCTTGTTGAGCAATCTCATTAGGGGTCCCCGAGTGTGTTTGATCATTTGTGTTGACGGTTTTTGAGGAGGTTTGATCGCTTGCATTTTCTACGACTACTTGAGGTATTTCAGAGGGAGGGTTACTCGGAGACAACTTAGTTGACTGAAACCGTTCAATAGTGCTACTTATCTGTGCTATTGTCTCGTCAATTTCTACTTTGATGTCTTCAGATTGGAATATTTCTCTCTCGAGTTTTTTCAGCTCTTCGACCAACGCTACGATTTTTCCGTCCAGTTCTTCCAGAATCGACCTTTTAATAATAGTAATAATAATAAACTTTATTTAAGAGGTTGCAATAGTACATTTTTACCTAAGCGGTATTCTTCCAAATGGTCCTCATTATGATACATATAGATAGGTTATGCGGTCATTATATACACAGTTAATGGACGAAACGATATGTACAAGTGAGAAAATATTATGTATACGTGTATATAAAACACAATGACTATACACAACACAATGTATATATACAACACAGTAGACGAGACAATATAAACTGACAAAAGAAATATTGAATAGATTGAGAGAAAAGTAGAATGAATATTGAATAGATTAATTGAAAGAAAAGTATGACAGGTGAAAGGTCAATAGGTGTAACATGCATATACACATAACAATGTCAGTACAAGAAGAGCAAGAAAAATGTTCAAGATGGTCAACTTCATAATTTAAATCACAAAAGAACTTTTTTAGTTTAAACTTATAGGTCGAAGGGGGGTAGTCATGGACCATTTTCAGGTCATTTGGCAAAATTCCACTGTATGAGGGTTTAGTTTTAGCCAGCTCAGGTTTGACTAAGGGTACCCTTAAATCGATTAAGGAACGTCGAGTATAGACATCATGCATCTCACAGAGATATGAAACAGATTGCGAAGCTCACTTGGTGATGAGCTACGCAGAGTGTTGACAACTAATAGTATTTTTCTCATCTGAATCAAGTTATTGATGGGAATCCAATTATAAGTTTACGAAAAAGATCGACAGAAGGGGTTGACATACTCTCATCCAAAGTTAATCTTGCAGCTCCTTTTTGAAGTTTTAGCAGGGGATCAATAAGCTCGCGACGCAGTGGCGTAGCCAGAACGATAATTGGGGGGCAAATATTCCTATATTCGTGATACGCAGGATTAATTTCTTTTCAAATCAATTTTTTTTACAGTCTGTTAACATGAATATATGAATATGGCCCCCCCCCAATTATCGATGCTGGTTACGCCACTGTCGCGTCGTGCATTTCCCCACACAGTGATGCCATATAAAAGATGAGGGTATATAAAGGCATAATAAAACTGAATTCTACACTTTACTGGAAGGGATGGACAAATACGCTTAAATAGATACAGTCGAGAATTTAGCAGTTTGAAGATTTTATCCACTTGGTAGTCCCAAGTAAGATTTTTATCAAGAATTATTCCAAGTAGTTTACCAGAAATAATTTCGTCTATCGTAAATTCCTCGTGTGATATGGTGACGCAGTCGAGCATTGGATACTTTCGCTTTGAATATATTTTCATGAATTTGGTTTTACTAAAGTTTAAGGCCATATTGTTATGCCTAGCCTATTGGGAGGTAGTACACAGATCGGTTGATAATTATGTTTTGATCATTGATAGTTCACTATTATGGGTTAAGAGGGTGGAATCATCAGCAAAAAGTGAGGGATGTGTGGTGTTTAAAAATGTTGGTAGATCATTTATAAATAACAAGAAGAGTAACGGACCGAGAATAGATCCTTGGGGGAACCCGGTTTTTATAGTTAAGGGGTCTGACAAATGGTCGCTTACTTGGACTTGTTGAGTTCGCCGTTCTATAGGTATGATGTGAACCATTTCAGAGTGAGATCAGTAGCTCCGTATGCGGATTTTTTAAAGCAAGATAGTATGATCGACTGAATCAAACGCCTTGGAAAAGTCAAGCATCAGAACTCCATTGATTTCTCCTTTTTCGATATTATTAACAAGATATTCATAAATCATTGTCAACGAAGTTTCGCATGATTGCCCCGGTCTGAACCGATAGATGGTGGTCCGATAGAATTTTATTTTCAGTTAGATAAGAGAAGTATGAATTGAACACATGCTTTTCTATGATCTTAGAGAGAAAACCTAAAACAGAAATTGGCCTAAAATTTCCTCTTTCATTCTTTTCACCCGATTTATGGATTGGGATTAATTTAGCCTTTTTCGAAAAGGATGGAAAGATACCTGTGGTAAAGCTTTGGTTACAAATATTAGGTATAGAAATTGGTATCATTGGTACCAGTTCACTTGCTCGTGTGTATAGCGAGTAAGTTTTTCTTTACAAGTTTTTTTTTTGTTTGTGTGTACCTAGCCTGAACACAAACCTTTGTTTCTCCCGCCTTAAAATTTGCGGGGTGATGCGAAGGCGAAACAAAGGTATGAAGAAAAAGTGGTCAACAGCGTACTATGCAGGTTGATCGACCGCTTAGCAAGTCGACCGCCAACAGTAGACAAAGCTGATTGGCTAAATTACAGAAATATTGCTTTTGATTGGCTATATAAATGCACTGGTTAAGTTAAAAAGATGATACGGATGCGGAACGGATCGAAGGAACGAAAGGGATATGGGGTTAAAATGCGGAAGAACAGATATGGAGTTAAAATGCGGAACGTGTTTATAATCAAATGTGTATATAGGCTTCGTAGGGTTGAACTGCCTTATAAGAATATATTTTTTGTGAAATGATTGCTGAAATATGAGAGTCATTGGTGAAAGTAATTCATATCTATATTCTTTTTATGTTTGAAATAAAAATTGGACGTTACATTGATCCTTTATCCGCATACCCGTTCCGCGTTTTATTCTATATCCATTCCGCATTTTATCCCCACATCCGTCTGGCATTTTGTCGTCATGTCCGTTCCGCATTTTATCCCCATATCAGTTCCACGTTTTAACTGAATAACCATTCCGTTGCGTCGATCTGTTCCACATCTGTACCCGCATTTTAGTCCAACCCATAAACGTACACAACAAAGGATGTTGTTAAAGGTCGTTATAAAAATTTTCAGCAATTAGGTTAAATTGACAAATATTTACATTTTACATTATATTTATATTTGAGTAGAGATTTTACGAATCACAGAAATGGATGTGGCCAGTCGGCCAGTTTAACTATACATATAAAGTGATCGCTGAAATATGAGAGTGACTGCTGAAAGTAATTCATGCATCCCAATTCTGCTGAAATCATCTATTGTTAACCCCATTCCCAAAGTAAACCCCCCGAAAGATTTGGTGAATGATCTTAGATCGATATCACTTACGTGCACTCTGGCAAAGATCATGGAAAGTTTCACTCTAACAAAACTAACCCCACAGCTCGAACGCAAGATTGATAAAAGGCAATATGCCCGGAAAGATCATTCAACGACTGATGCCTTGCTCTACTTTTTACAA